GTCCCGAACCTGGGCGCTCTCAGAGAGACGGGGATAAGGAGACTCCAGGAGCGCGCGGCGTGGAGGATGGGTTTGGGGAAGCGCGCGGCCCCCAGTTTGATGGGGGGCTCTCGGAGGACGGAGCAGGCAGGGACCCTTATCCACAACACATACATACACACTTGTTGGGCAACTAGCTCGGCTCACTCAGCCGCTTCCAGCTTCCCGCGGGCACCCAGAGGGCCAGACCGTGGACATATATACACACATACATACATCCGTACATATGTGCACACAGACATACCTCCCGCACACCAGCGCCCACTGGGGCACCGTCACCAGCTCAGAATCCGCTTCAGTGTCTGCACGATCAGCAGCACGGACACGCAACCCGTGGCTTTACAGAGCAACAACACAACCGGGTGTGACACCCCGCGACGTGGACACACAAACACAGTCTCGTGCCCTCATGTACGAGTGTCACAGCCACAGTTGACTACACGAACCCTCCAAAACCTAGCCACCCCCCACATTCCTTTAAGGAACACACCCTAACATATATTATCTCACCCACTTCTTGGCCAGAATATAGGTACACAGCACAGGTCTCCTTGCACCCCTCTACTGCACCCACACAAACACACAACCCAGTATTTCAGCACAAGCTTGACGGCACACACCCTAACACAGGAAGTGGCACCAACAGCAGAGCCTCACAGCCACAAACACAGAATCCACTGCTTCACCCATCTTAACACTGGGTGTCACACACACCTTAAACCAACAGTGTCACATTACATTACACCCTGCAGCTCATACACACAAACACACACACTCCGTTCCTCTCCCTCGGAGTCCAGATTCAGGCAGAAGCCGCCGGGGTCGCTCGGCGAGCCCCAAGCGCCCCGCCACCTTAATCGCGACATTGTTATTGTAAATATCGGCACAGCGGGAAGCCTGGTTCCCAGCCGGCGCCTCCCCAACCCCCACTCCTGGGCCGAACTGGCCGGTGTTCTGGGAACAAACTGGACCTGGCTGGCCCAGCCATCCCGCCTCCCCAGGGCTCCGGGGCCCCAGGTTCATTTGCAGAGGGTGCTAGCCTGGGACAGTGATTGCGACCCTCTTCCGGACATTTAGCTGAGTTTTCTGAGCCATCTAGGTCTCCAGCACACCTGGGTCCCACACACTTTGGTGGGTCCCGCACACCTTGGTTCGTCTCACACCTGGGCGCTCCCTCCGCCTAGTCCCCGCTGTAGGCCAGTGTGCGCGCGGGCAGGCCCTGGAGCCAGAAAGAAGATCGCGGCAGGCACAGGAGCAAAATTTGTAGGCGAGGTGGTCTCGCACCCTTTCCCCCCCAGCTACCCTCTGTAAGTCAGACTTATGGCCTCAGTTTCCCCAACAGTGGTCGGCTACTATTTCTTCTGCCAGGAAAGACTGAGGGCGGCACTGAGGCCTTGGAGGATTGAGCGTAGGGTAAAATCCCCCCTCCGCTCGCCACGAGAGGGTCGGTTTTATGAGAATGTCCCCGCCTAGCCGGGTTCGCGGCTTTGTGATTCCAGCGCCGGCTCCCTCCCTGCCCCCTCCCGGCTCCCGCTGCGCTGCTCGCGCCGGCGCCGGCTTGCGGGGGACCCCAGGCCGAGGCCGGAGATGCCGGGGAGGAGGGATTCCCCGCGGTGGCCTGGGTGCGGGGGGCTCAAGGGCTCCCCCAACTAGCCGAGGTGCGTTCTCAACACGCCGCGCCCTAGTCTTGCCTTGGGTTCCTGGAGGCCAGTTGCTGCCAGGGTGGGGGTGGGGCCACCAGAGCCCAAGAAACTGCCGCCGTCCTCCGCCACCCCCCAATCCCCGCAACACACACACACACACACACACACACACACACACACACACACACACACACACACACACAGTGTCGGCGTCCTCTGGGAGGAGTCGCTCCGCGCGCTGGGTGTGTGCTGGGAGCGCCCGCTCACCAAGGCGGTGCGGACTGGGGCTGCTCGGGTTGGCAGAGTCCAGGACTTCGTGCAGGAGGACGCCGCGAGCCTTCTAGCACCTGTTCTGGGTCAACCCTCGGGAGCTGCCAGGAAAGGGGGCCACCCAGAAAGTTTTTATGACAACCCGGATGTCTAGCTGTGTTTGGGAGGGGGGGCGCGGAGGTAGTGGTGTTACTTTATTGAAGTGAAGGTCTGCGGGGTATTGGAACCTGTAATTACAACTAGACTAGGGCATGGGGTGGAATCGAGGGGAGAGGGAGACGGGCCCCCAGAGGTGGCCAGAGGCAGTGTGATAGGGAGGCAAGTCTGGATTCAGTTCTGGCCGCATTTAGTTTTTACCCCTTTTCCTACCCACCTCCAATTCCCAGTTCCAAAAGGGACTTGAGCTGGAAGGGGGTGTCTTGCTGGTCTGGCATATTCTTAGCAGAGAGGCTGCTGCTGTGGCTACTTCTGCAGAGGAGCTGGGCAAGCGATAGTAACCTCACTGCTGGGAAGAAGGGGGTTGAAGGGCCAGGAGGGCGCCTACGAGGGTGGGGGAGGAGCTAAGTGGGAATCAAGGTTCAGGGAGGAGTGTGGGGAAAGAAGGAGAAGGTGAGGGCTGCCCCTTCCGTGAGCAAGCATAGTTGGTGCAGAGATTCTGTTCAACAATGTATTGAGCACCTTTTATCTGCCAGGGCCCATGGTGGGTGGTGAGGATGCAGTAGTAAGATGCGTACCATCATTGCCTTCATAGGACTTACAAAGCAGCGAGGGATTGGCTTGTTTATTCATCCAACAAAGGGGCACCCACTGTGTGCCTGATGCTGGAAATAAAATGGTCTATTCAGCAATTGGAAGACTTAGAAAAAAGTGATTTGTCCTTTACATGTGATGTAAATAGACCTTAATGTAACAGACCTTATAGGCATGAGATCTCATTTGATTCTCCCAAATAATTTCAAGAGGCAGGATTCATTATTTCCATTTCACAGTATGGAAACAGGTTCAGAAAAGTAAATTCACTTGGTTAACGTCACACAGCTAGGAAGTGGTGGAGCGAGGGTTCTAACCCCAACAATCTGACTCAAGCATGCAGGTGCCCAGAAGCCCTGCAGAGGCTAATAGAGGGTTGTGGGAGAGAGGGGAGAGGAGCTGAGGTCTGCACACTTGCTTTCAGTGGGAGGCTTCTGTTCAGCTCCACCCCACACAGCCCCATTTGCTTCCCCTCTTCCCCCAGACAGTCCCTTTGTCCCTTGGTGTTTTGTGCCCGCGGCATTGACCGTTGTGTAACAGTGCTGGAGTGAGGGTGGGGAGTCAGAGCTGACCTGGCTACTGGGACAGTCGTGGCTGCCTCTGTGTGTGTTTTTTCTCTCTGGCCACAGCACTCAGCAAAATGGACCTTAGTCCCCAGGGTGGGCTGGAAATGAAGTTTCCGGGTGAACCCTCACCTCTGTTCCCATCCCTTCCCAGATGTTGACATAGATAGTATTTCCTTTGGCTTTTCTGGGACTCCGTTTCCTTCTTATCCCTTACTCCTACATCCCTGATGACACTTCTCCTCCTCTATCTGAGGGACATGGGTCCCTGTGCCTGTTCCCCCTGAGGCTTCTCAGGGTCCTGGGTGCCCACGTCACTGGGGGGAGGTGGGGCACCATTGCCCAGGAAGGCAGTCAGGGCCTGGGGAAGGGCAGATAAGGCACTGCATGTATCAAAGGCTGCTGTGTGGGACTAATGACTCCCAGTGCCCAACTGCTGGGGACAAAGTTCAGAGATGATGGGGGCAGGGGTGAGGGAAGGCCTCCTTATTGCTGCTCCTGCCCTTCCAGGCCACCCTGGCTCTCTCCCTGCATCTCTACAGGCCCCTGTGTGAACAGCAGCAGCCTAGGAAGCCTGGGCTCATCCATTCCTTGACCCTTAGGCCCACTCTTTCTTATTCCCTACTTACTGGGCAAGGTTGGCAGTCCAAGAATGGTGGGGAGGTGGGTGTGACATAACAAGCATCAGATTCTAGCCTCAGATATTTCTGTTCCTTTCCCCCAGACTCTGGGATGTGAAGAGGCATTTTTATTTCTCAAGTCCTGGCTCTTCCACATACTACTTCTGTGACTTGAGACAGTTTATTCTTTCTCAGCCCGCATTTGATCATCTGTAGTATGGGAAGGAGTGTAATAATAAACAGTACCCATTTCAGAGGGTTGGGAGGAAAGAGATCATGTGTGTAAAATGCTTAGTACTGAGTAGAATCTTAGTGTTTGCTGAGATGATAATGAGTGATGATGATGGCAAAGGTGATGATAAGAGTTTGCAGGGGCTGGGTGCGGCGGTGGCTCACACCTGTAATCCCAGCACTTTGGGAGGCCCAGGCAGGCGGATCACAAGGTCAGGAGATCGAGACCATCCTGGCTAACATGGTGAAACCCCATCTCTACTAAATAATACAAAAAATTAGCCGGGCGTGATGGTGAGCGCCTGTAGTTCCAGCTACTTGGGAGGCTGAGGCAGGAGAATGGCGTGAACCCGGGAGGCAGAGCTTGCAGTGAGCCGAGATTGAGCTACTGCACTCCAGTGCAAGACTCCATCCCCCCACCAAATAAAAAAAAGAGTTTGCAGTACCCGGCCTGGCGGCCTGGCGCGGTGGCTCACGCCTATAATCCTAGCACTTTGGGAGGCCGAGGGGGGGTGCAGATCATAAGGTCAGGAGATCGAGACCATCCTGGCCAACATGGTGAAACACTGTCTCTACTAAAATACAAAAAAAAAAAAAAATTAGCCGGGCGTGGTGGCACGCGCCTGTAGTACCAGCTACTTGGGAGGCTGAGGCAGGGGAATTGCTTGAACCCGGCAGGCAGAGGTTGCAATGAGGCCAGATCGCACCACTGCATTCCAGCCTGGCAACGGAAAGTTTGCAGGACCTCAGGCCCTTTCTTAACTCCCTGGAATTATCTTAAAGTTGTACCCAGATGATCCGACCATTGCATTACAATTGCTTGGGGGTTTCTCTAGGTCCCACCTCCTGAATAAAGATTCCTAAGGGTGGGGCCAGATAATCCTCATTTTGAAGGAACTCTCCAGATGCTTGAAGGGCCTGAGCCTCTTCAACTCCTTTCCCCACTGTGAGCAGCTCTCCCCCAGCCCTGTTTTCCACACATTCCTCCTACTTTCTGGGACCTTTCCCCAGTCCCACCATCCTATACCTTCCTTGAGTTGGATATTATCCTGTGGTTCTCCTTCTCTTTCCAATTCAGAGGTTAGATACCACAGTCCTTAACTGGTTCTTTTGCTGGCTGGAGGTAAGGCAACTCCTAAGGGTGAGAAAGAGCATGTGGGGGGCGGAGGTAGTCTCACAAGCATGTGTGCCTGTTCTGCCTAGGAGGTTTGAAAGGTTATAGGGCCTCAGGTTGTGACTGTGAGATGGAGGAGGCCTGAGGTAGGGGCTTCATTCGTAGCTCTTGGAGTGGCCACACATCATTCGCTCTGACTGCCGGATCATGGCCCCCTGAATTAATTAGCAGCTAAAGTTTGTGAACAGTCATTTTTTCTGGAAAAATCTGCACCATGGTTTTATAAAATTCTTGAAGGAGGATGTGACCACAAAAGATTAACTATCTTAAATATCCTTGATCTGGAGAGAACAGAGGCAAACAGTGACTGCCTTATTTATTCTCTTGGTGAGGTTTAGGGTAATTCCTGTGGGCTTCCCACATAACGCCTCACCTGCCAAGACTTACGTAGAGAATTGGGGTGCACAATGATACCACCTTGTATATGCAGAGTAGGGTGGCAGCAGGACTCAGTCCCATAAGAAAATGAGGTTCTCTGGTGATGGTCCTTTGGGGATGTGTTTGGATTGGGGTTGAAGTAGTCAGATGAGCCTTGTGTCAGGTCCATGCAGGTGGAGGGGAGGTGACTGGAGGCGGGGTGGATCCAAATGGAGTATCAGATAAATTCCTGCTTCCTTTAAAGAGATTAAGATTGCAACGGGAACAAACATTCACACCAATCTGATAAGGGCTGGCCGGCCGGCTGGCCAGCCGCACACACTTTAGGGAGGGGCCTGTGCTTGGGGAAGGCCACACAGAGGAGGGGAAGTGTTTGATTTATCTAAGGACTCTGTGCATTCAGTGAACATTTGCTGAAAAGTCTGCTATGTGCCCTAAACAGAGAAGACTTACATTTTACCCCAGGAAGTTCTTAGTGGAGTAGGGGAATCGGGTAAGTGAGCAAGTGAAAGAGCAGTGGTCACACACCAGGAAAGGCTAAGCCCAGAGAGCCAAAATAACAACAGTCATTCAAGAGCTGCCGAGTGCCCACTGTATGCCAGGTCCAGGGCTAAGCCCTGAGGAGGTAGGAGCAAACAAAATAGAAACTCTCCTGCTTTCTGCTCACCATCTTGTAGCAAACACAGACAATTAACACATTTTCCAAACAGGTACACAACTACAATTGTGCTAAATGCTTTGAAGGAGTCCTTTGTTGAGTACCACATTTAGCCCACAGTATCTCAAATACCCCAGGAAATAGGTAGTATTATCCCCATTTTACAGATAAGGAAACTGAGGCACTAAATCTTTGCTTCAGGTCATGCAGCCAGGAAGTGAGCAGCTGGGTTTGCCTCAGACCGTCTGATGGCACAGCCCTCGCTCTTCCCCACCCTGCTGCCTTACATTTGCCGAATGATATACAGAAGCAACCAAACAAAATGAACAAATAGTCATTGAGTTAGAACCACTGTCATGGCAGATTGGACCAGTCTTGTTCACTTCTGCATCCCAGTGCCCAGGACAAAGCCTGGCATATTGTAAATGTCCGATAAACATTTGTTGAATGCATGACTGAGTCCCTACAGTGTACCCAGATGTGCAAAGGTGCATTGTTGGGGGACAGGGGATGAGTGAGTGTACACAGTACTTGTCCCTTCGTGGTGCTTTGTGTCTGCCTGGAGAGGCAGATAACTCAGGAATAGGTGCACAGTACTGAAGCTGAACAACACAGGCGGGCGGTGTCCCAGTCAGCCCCATGATTCATTGCCTTGGGATTGGAGCAGACAATAAGTGGCTGTGAGTTGGAGGAAGGAGAGGTCACCGTGGGCAGGAGAGGACTGTGAAGGCTTCCTGGAGGGCCAGAGCCTGCCCTCAGTGGGATTATATGGGGTGGGTATTCCAGGTGTGGGGAGAGTATTCCAGGTGTGGGGAAGGTATTCCAGGTAAAAATGAGGAAGTGGGGAAAGGAGACTGAACCAGAAGCCTCTAAAGAAACTGCAGATCCAAAGATTTTGGATTTGAATAGAGGAGGGACTGGCCATGGTTTCGTTGGAGAGGAGGGGGCATTCAAGACAGAGACAGTAGCTGGGTCTGACTGGGATCTGCAAATGCATGACCTCAAAGCCAGGAGAGATGGGCAGAAGAAGGGGGTTATTGTGGTGATGGGGGTGCAGCTTGTGGTTGGCTAGGGCAGAGGTTGGGAAACGCAGGTGTGAAGTAGGGGCTGGATATATGGGGATAGATGTCAAATAGGAGCCAGATGTTCATCCAGAGACCAGAGCATGTGGGGTGGGGGAGTGGTCAGGGAAAGGCTGGTGGTGTCATAATCACTGGCAGCTCTGTCCCAGTTAGACCTGCTGGGCTCCCTGTTGCTAAGGACAGGCCAGGGCAGTTCCCAATGCCAATTCCAGGGCTAGTCAGCCCTGACCACAGTTCTGACCCCAATCTTGACCTGTGTTCCCTTGTACGCACCTGCCCATGGTAGCAGGAGGGGGAGGAGAGGAGCCCTAGCAACTGTTCATGTGCTTGTGTGCGCGCTCTGGGGCCTGTGTGCGCGCTCTGGGGCCTGTGTGCACGCTCTGGGGCCTGTGTGCGCGCTCTGGGGCCTGTGTGCGCGCTCTGGGGCCTGTGTGC